GTGAGCTGGCAGTAAACCACACCTTTCAAGTTGGAGTTAACGCTTTATTAGCAAGAACACGATTGGCACAGACTTGGCACAATGCCAGGCCCAGTGAGCATAGCAGCTCATCCCCAGTGGGTCTTGCCCCATGGATCAGTTGCCGAAGCTGAAAGTCCCTGCCTCCCCACAGCCATCTGAGTCCCCTCTTATCCAGGGCTTTCTTTGCCTTTGTGATGCCAACCTCTCCTCCACGCCTCTTTGGGTTCTGGCAGACAAAGGGGGACGGGAGCTTGTTGCAACAGGAGGGGGAGACACCTGTGACTCTTCATCATCCTGACTCATCTCTGCCCCTTGGCTTCCCTCATCCCATTCTTCCGCTTCAGCTTCTGCCTCTGATTCTGGACTACCCTCTGCCACAGACTCTCCCCGCTCACTAAGCCCTGTTACCTCCCCTTCCCAGTCTACTCCCTCTTCTCTATCTGACCATTCATTGTCATCCTACCACCACTCCCTGGACTCTGAGCCTTCTTCCCTTGGGGGTTCCCCAGCTGGTTCCTCCCACTACCCCTCTACATCCAAGCGGTCCATGAGGTTGCTGTTGGTCTTCCTGTTTTCTGCCCTAACGGTCCCAATGGCCACCAGCCACCACTGTTCATAGCTCTCCAATGTTCAGGCTGCTTCAGGACTTGGGTGGTTTAGCAGTGCCCAATCATGGCTGCTCTGCTTTGCTCTGAGTTGAATGTGGAGCACCAATTCTTCCTTCCAGACAATACCATAATAAGTTCTTCTTTCCCTTGATCACTAAACTGGCAGCACACCAAAACATCCCTAGCAGGCAACTGTGTTCCCTATATGAGACACTGCTAAGAAGACCACATGTCCCAGAGATGTGCTTGTTACACTCTCAGATTGTTGCACTGGTGTTGCAGCTTCGTCGACAAGCTGTAATTAGACATGCACTTGGTGTTTTGATGTTCAGGAAACTATTGAATATATTTTTGTTTAAGAAGGCTTTCTCTCAAGCTTGACCTGGTCATTTTGTGGAATTCCATCCCCACAGGGGACCGTATTATATACTTTATTGTATAGGAAAACACACCTCTTTACCCAAGCTTTTCACACCGTAGATGTGTGTTTTCAGGATCCACCCCGTGGCTATAATTTCTTTTAAACAATTTTTAATATTGAATTTAAATTTTTGTAACCTGCCTTGGGACCTTACATAAAGGGTGTGCAACGAGCTGAAATCGTAACGGTAATCATTTTAGAGAATAACAATCGCACAATCGTAGAAGCAGTCTTACGGTGCTGAGTTTGCCACTTTTGCAAACTCTGGTATCTCATTTCATTCTGTTGCACCCTGCTTCGATAACTTTGGCTCGGGAAGCGCTTTATAAATCTGAAAACAGATCTTCGCATAAACGAAAGACCGAATTTCTATGAGAATATACCCAGATAGGACTGCATTCTTCTCTCCACATTAGGCAGACAATGTGCGCATAAGCTTCTTTGCTTCCCCATGTCCCGTGTGCCACACAAGTGCAGTTCTACTCTGAAGAAACACCCCCTTGCACAAAAGGTTCATTACTTTATAATTGGCATCTCTTCATAGTGTGGCTCCTCACTTCATACCCCTTAATCCTTTGTGTGCTCCACAATTGGCGGCCTCCCTCATTTCCTCACAGTTTAGTGGCTCTAGAGAATGCCTTTCATCCCATTGTTAACCCCAATCGTTACCCATTTCCCATCCTAGGCCTGAAATGGCCTGGCTGTCTGTTAGTGCAAAACTGCGGATGACCTCCCTTGTCCTAGGAAGGAGCGCTCCCCTAGGACATTAGTGTGAGAGTCTGGTCTCCCTCTGTGGGCGAGATTGCTCCCTACCCAGGCAAGAAATAGAAGATCACAGTTGGACATCTAACTGGGCCCCAGGTCATTAGCAAGACAAAAAAATAAAATAAAATACCTGATGGAATGTAGGGCTTTAAAGTCCATTCCATCCCCAGAGAGGAAGGTTTCTAAAGAAAATGGAAGCTCAAAACATGAGAGGTTTCCTTCATTTTTAAAGAAGACAAGGGAAGATTAGTTTACTGACAACAAATCTCAAGGTTTAATTGCATGGGGGGCGGTGGTTAGAAGGGTTCTGTTCTTCAGAGAAAGCATTGCCAATTGTTATGCTCGTGAGGTGACATCTGAACCGAGACTATTTTTTCCAGCTGTGTTTTTCAGTTAGAACAAAAAGCTTGGAAGATAAAAGTCTCAAATAAAATTTCCAGCCTCAGACTTACTGATCAGACTCCAGGGGGGAAAACTCTTCTAATTTGAACAGTTTGATTTTGTATTATTTAGCATAACTACATGCTAAATAATACAATATTTAGGTGTTGTAGAACTCCTATTGATTTTCTATTAGGCTCTGATCAGATGCACCATCTTTATAAAATCTGCGCTCCTGAAGTAATTGTTAGGTCTTCAGTTGTACAATCTGCATTTTGACAATCCTCCCAACCATGGTTTGGAGGACTGAGAATCAACCATGGCTTAAGCCTCCTTCCCCCCTTGCCCTCCTCCCCTCTTGCAGACTGCTTAATGCTTTGATCAAACTATGGTTTGTTGTTACATCTGAACCAATAAACTGTGGTTAAAGTAAGCCCTCCAAACCAGAATTGCAAACCATGCCTTGATCTTGGTTTGCAAACCTGCTTCAGAGGGCTCACTCAAACCACAGTTTCCTAGTTCGGCAATCATGGGAAACTATGGTTTATTGAGTTCTTCTTTATTATTATAAACGTATTAATTTATTCCATTTTTATCCCACTCTTCCTCCCAAAGGAGCCCAGGGCAATTTGATAAAATCTGATAGCAATTGATTAAGTCATGCACAAAAGGAGAGGATGGCAGGGGTGAGGGATGGAAGGAGTGCTTGAACCCTTGGTTCATTCCCAGTCAGAAACATTTGGGAGATTGCTTGAATGAACAATGGGAGAAAAAAGTCAAAGATAGTAAAACATTATAAAGCTATTAATTAGCGAGGATAATCCCTAAATATTTATTTGTTAATCAAAGCAAGAACATCAATGTTCTCTTCCCCTAAAATCAAATTACCTCCCCACCTTTAACAGCCATTTGAGGGAGTTGGGAATTTGTTTCTAATGGATCACTAACTGTCCTATACATGTCTACTCAGAAGTAAGTCCCGTTGATTTCAGTGATGCTTGCTCCCTGATAAGTGGATAGATGACTGCAGCCCAAGTCAATATTTCACTTAACGCAACACAACGTGACTCTTTTGAGCTTTTGATGCCAGCTGAAGACTTGCCTGTTCACTCAGGTCTTTGGCTAGAGCTGGCTGCTCTGCTGTGAAATGTAAATTTTGGTTTTGTTTATGTTGATGCAATTTATTGATATATTGCTATATTTTTATTCTGTTCATAGACATCATACCCTGCTTTGACACTACTAGCAATGAATGAAATATATGAGGCAGTAAGCTACAGAGTATACTGAAGCCCATTACTACATTCTGATATTCCATGCAGCAAGCAATGGTGAAATAATAAAAAAAATTGTTTGGATGCATATTAATATAAGCAGGAATCTTTTTAATGTGCACTTTTAGAATGCATGAAATCTCTATTATTATTTTTAGTGCATAAAGTAAGGTACAGGTATCCCAGACTTGGGTGCAGAATAGGGATGGCAGATGAATTCAATTCACTTTGCATCTTAAGGCAAGTTTACCTAATTCATGCTTTCCAAAACAAGCTGTGAACTAAAATATAGGCATCCCTCAAAACTGACACTTCTCCATCCAAGTAATATGTGCAAAATTACATGCGCTAGGGAAAAGTGTACAGTGATACCTCGGGTTAAGAACTTAATTCATTCTGGAGGTCCGTTCTTAACTTGAAACTGTTCTTAACCTGAGGTACCACTTTAGCTAATGGGGCCTCCCGCTGCCACTGCGCTGCCGCTGCGCGATTTCTGTTCTCATCCTGAAGCAAAGTTCTTAACCTGAGGTACTATTTCTGGGTTAGAGGAGCCTGTAACCTGAAGCGTCTGTAACCTGAAGCATCTGTAACCGAGGTATCACTGTACATACAAATGCACATGTTATATTAGAGGAAATTGCTTTGAAAAAAATGGTGTATTAGGAGAAATTTGCACTAAAATACTAGTGAACACTCATGAAAACTTTTTTTTTTATCAGACTCATACAGAAATGTGAAGAACTGGATTCATCTGAGAAAATAAAAAACAAAATGACATATTTGCCCATCCCTGGTGCTGATTCATGAAATCCATTCCTTTCCTTTTTTGATGGGAAAGAACTACATTGTGTGGAACTCAATCTGAGTCACACACTGGAGCAAAGAATTTGCACCGCTAGTCCGCTGTGGGAAAAGAATCTTTGGTCAAGGGAAGCAAGTAAAATGAGGCCAATACTATTCAGTGACAAACCCACACAGCAAAACAGGCAGTTGGCCATATGAACTGTGGGCAACTTCATGTACTTTTGAGTCTTATGTGGAACATTTTTGTGTGCTCCTATCTCTGCTATTGAAGTCAGTGGGGCTCAAGGCTTCACCCGAAGTATACTTCCTTGGAATAAAGTCCCTTTGGAACCAGTGGGGTCTACTTCTATGGAAACATGGGTAGTTCTTAGCTGTTGAATCATAGAATCATAGAGTTGGAAGGGACACCAAGGGACATCTAGTCCAACCCCTGCGATACAGGAATCTCAGCTAAAGAAACTATGACAGACGACCATCCATCCTCCAAGGAGAGCGAGTTCACAAGGGACTCCATTCCACTGCTGAACTGCCCTTGCCATCAGATAGTTATCCCAGATGTTTAGATGGAATCTCCTTTCTTGTAACTTGAAGCCATCGGTTCAGGTCCCCCCCTCCAGAGCAGTAAAAAACAAGCCTGTCCCACCTTCCATGTGACAGCCCTTCAGATATCCTCAGTCTCCTCTTTTCCAGGCTAAACGTTTCCAGGGCCTAGGGTATGGCTGGGATTGCTGGATAGCTCAGTTGGTTGGAATGTGGTGCTGATAATGCCAAGGTTGCAGGTTTGATCCCTGTATGGGGCAGCTGCATATTTTTGTATTACAGGGGGTTGGTGTAGATGATCCTCAGGGTCCCTTCCAACTCTACAATGTAATTCTAACAGATTGAGGTTGAATCCTGACAAGACAGAAGTACAGTGGTACCTCAGGTTACAGACGCTTCAGGTTACAGACTCCACTAACCCAGAAATAGTACCTCGGGTTAAGAACTTTGCTTCAGGATGAGAACAGAAATCGTGCTCCGGCGGCGGTGCAGCAGCAGGAGGCCTCATTAGCTAAAGTGGTGCTTCAGGTTAAGAACAGTTTCAGGTTAAGAACGGACCTCCAGGACGAATTAAGTTCTTAACCCGAGGTACCACTGTACTGTTTTGAGGGGACAGGGGGTGGGCAGATGTGGAAGACTCCCTGGTCCTAAATGGGGTAACTATGCCCCTGAAAGAGCAGGTGTGCAGCCTGGTTAGTCATTTTGGACTCACAGCTGCCCATGGAGGCGCAGGTCAGTTCTGTGTCCAGGACAGCTGTCTGTCAGCTCCATCTGGTACGCAGGCTGAGATCCTACCTGTCTGCTAATTGTCTTGCCAGAGTGGCACATGCTCTGGTTATCTCATGCTTGGACTATTGGAATGCACTCTACATGGGGCTACCTTTGAAGGTGGCCCGGAAACTACAACTAATCCAGAATATGGCAGTTATACTGGTGGCTGCCAAGACCACATAACACTGGTCCTGAAAGACCTACATTGGCTCCCAGTACATTTCTGAGCACAATTCAAAGTGTTGGTGCTGACCTTTAAAGCCCTAAACGGCCTTGGCCCAGGAGTGTCTCCACCCCCATCATTCAGCCCGGACACTGAGGTCCAGCTCCGAGGGCCTTCTGGCGGTTCCCTCCCTGTGAGAAGTGAGGTTGCAGGGAACCAGGCAGAGGGCTTTCTCGGTGGTGGCGTCCGTCTTGTGGAACGCACTCTCATTAGATGTCAAGGAAATAAACAACTACCTGACTTTTAGAAGACATCTGAAGGCAGCCCTGTTTAGGGAAGTTTTTAATGTTTGATGTATTATCACTTATTATTAATAATAATATTCCGTTGGGAGCCACTCATAATATATTATTATTATTATTATTATTATTATTATTATTATTATTAATGTAGGGCTTATTTTCCGCCAGAACTCAGTTCCAACACCTCTCAGGTGGGCACCATTGACATTATAAGAGTGTACAAGGAGGCATTCATTATGAGTTCTGGCACCTCTTTTTCTAGAAAAAATAGCACGGATTCTATGATTCAATTGTTTTTGTGCATTTCCCCACAAAGAAGTGCTGTGTGCTGAGATATGCATCACATGCAAAGCAACCAAACGTTCCAGCAACTGGCATTGAGTTCAGGATGTCGGCGAGTCAGATCTCTTTGCAGATAGTAACTTAAAGTCAGCTAGTCACTTTGCTTCCATGGTAGTTTGGGGACAGCAGTGCTTCAGGGTGACAGCAATTGCCAACCTATGACTGAAGGAAAGGGCTCCTGGGGGTTACTAAGAGAGACCTCACAGGAAGCTCAGAGACCTAGAAAAAGGAAGGTCATAGAGGGAAGGTCATAGAGGCTTTGGGGGGAAATAGGAGCCAATTATCACCCAACAGCAGTCATGAAATTAAACGACGCCTGCTTCTTGGCAGGAAAGCAATGATAAACCTAGACAGCATCTTAAAAAGCAGAGACCTTGCCAACAAAGGTCTGTATAGTAAAATCTATGGTTTTCCCAGTAGTGATGTATGGAAGTGAGAGCTGGACCATAAAGAAGGCTGATCACCGAAGAATTAATGCTTTTGAATTATGGTGTTGGAGGAGACTCTTGAGAGTCCCATGAACAGCAAGAAGATCAAACTGATCCATTCTGCAGGAAATCAGCCCTGAGTGCTCACTGGAAGGACAGATCCTGAAGCTGAGGCTCCAAGACTTTGGCCACCTCATGAGAAGAGAAGACTCCCTGGAAAAGATGGAGGGCACAAGGAGAAGGGGACAACAGAGGACAAGATGGTTGGACAGTGTTCTCGAAGCTACCAGCATGAGTTTGACGAAACTGTGGGAGGCAGTAGAAGACAGGAGTGCCTGGCGTGCTCTGGTCCATGGGGTCACGAAGAATTGGACACGACTAAATGACTAAACAACAACAATCACCCAACTAGCAAAAGGCTACAGGCATCTCCCAGCAGCATTCCTGCAGCAGGGCCACTATAGGGATTATTACCCAGAGGAGCACTAACAATGAGAGGAAAGATGGCCCGGCTTCTGAAAGCCTGGGATTCAAATGTTTTCCAGCCACCACTTTCTCATTAATAACTCAACACACACTAAAATGCCCATGATGGTTGTGATCACAATTATATAAAATAAAATAAAATTGCACACTCATGAGTGGACCAGAGTTCTGTTTCACTGTGTGCTGGAGTCAGAGAAGCAAACACAGGGATGTAGAAATATAGGAAGCTGCTTTATACCAAATCAGAGCATTGGTCCATCCATCTCAGTGTTGCCTACACCGTGTCAGGCTTCAGGGAATTGGTTTCCTCCCCCGTGGCAGTAGATAAGCAGAACAAAGGAAAATAAGTCTTCTTATCAGTTAGAAACTTTAATAATCACAGCGAAAGAACAAAGAACACATCTTCTAGAAATGGTGGTGCTCCCAATTAAGGATCTCACCCCCTTCTGTCCCTATTAATCTACATCACTTCTACGTTTTGTAATCTGAGCTTGCACCCTCCATGCTTTCTGTTCTGCCATTTTCTGAGCTCTCCGTGACTTTGGAAGAAGAAGAATAAGAGTTTGGATTTGATATCCGGCTTTCCCCTTAAGGAGTCTCAAAGCAGCTAACATTCTCCTTTCCCTTCCTCCCCCACAACAAACACTCTGTGAGGTGAGTGGGGCTGAGAGACCTCAAAGAAGTGTGACTAGCCCAAGGTCACCCAGCAGCTGCATGTGGAGGAGCAGAGACTGCCACTCTTAACCACTACACCACACTTGGAGAAGGGGGATGGATGCTGTCTAGAGACTGTGAATCTGTTAGCCCTGTCTCTCCCAGTGTTTCTTCTCCTAGCTGTTCCCCATCCAGTCTTTCCCAGCTTCTGCCTTCTGAACTATGCCCCTCTGCAAACCACTGTTCCAAATCTATACTGTCCTCCTGCTCCTGGGCAAATTCAGGATCCGGATCTGGAGCAGGGGGAAGGGGAAGGCTCCCACCATTCCTCCTCAGTGCAGCCCACCTCAGCATGGTCCCTGACACACAGAGTGCCAGCAGGTCTTCAGGATTCCAGGCAGAGATTCTTTCTGAATCTTACCTGGAGATGCTGGGGATTGAACATGGGACCTTTGGCATGCAAAGCAGGTGCTCTGCCACTGAGTTGTGTTTGTTCCCCTTCTTCAGGAGATGCAATGATCCTGAAGACCTGGGATAATTTTTTTCCCATCTGTAGCAGCTGGCCTGATGCTTCTACAACAGGGTGCCATGAGCTGGCTGGATGCAGAGGAGTGCTGGGAGGTACTGGCTGGGGAACCCCCAAGGGAAACCCCAAGGGAAGGAGGCTCAGAGCCAGGGGACTGGTGGTTGGAAGGCAATGAGTAGTCAGAGAGTGAAGATGGGGTAGGCTGGGAGGAGGAGGTGTCGGAAGCTGAAGGGGCAACAGGGTTTAGTGAGCAGGAAGAGGCCAGGCCAGAGAGCAGTCTAGAATCAGAGGAAGAAGAAGAGGGGCAGGAGACCAGCTCCCCTCTCCCTGGTCTCCCAGAACACACAGAGAAATGAAGAGGGCAGAGTAAAGAGAGACAAGACGATGGAGCTTTAGGCTGCTTGGGAAGGAACCAGGTGAGGAGAAGTCTTAGAGAGAGGTGGGGCAGGGACCTATAGATGGCAAAGTTAACATGTTTGATTAGAGAAAAATCATTACAAACATTTGTTAAGGATCGGAAATTTCTTATGGACTTTTTGTTGGTTTCTGCTTTCCTTCACTGTGCAGCAACTGCTGTCATGAGACAGGTGTTTACATTCCACAGTCTGTACTGTTGGAGTTTCTCACGGGAAAGGGAGACTGGATGTGACGTACACTGGTTTCCTGTTTTTCACTGTGTGATTCTCTCCAAGCTGTCGAGGAGAGAGGATGCATTTTTCTGCTCCGGCAGGGCAAGATGTCTTTCTGTAATATACCAGCTTTGAACTGTAAATAAAGCAATATAGAGTATGTAACACATTTTCCTCATCCTTCCGCTGGCAACGAGACTCTGCTTAAATCAACACGTGGTTATGGGCCCAGAGGTCGAATCGGAGTGCCGGCAAAGGATCGGAATGCAGAGGGACGGATCGGAAAGGAATCTGCTCTGCGCGTAGAAGTGATTGATGAGGTATGTGCTACTGCTCCGGGCAGCCTGCCAGCTTCAAGTTAATGGCTTTATGGCTGGACTTTGAACTTTTAAAGCCGGTTTTGCCGGGAATAGGCAAAAGGCTCCCAGGCACAAGTCACTATGCTGGGGAAATCGAAGTAACTTTTAAGTGTGCCTTTGTAATAAAGCAGCTGCAGCAGTGACGCAGCAAGATTTAAAGCAGCATATGACGCTGAAGGCTAATGCCAGAGTCATGATGGCCCTTCAGGATGCTTGTGGGATTCCTAAGCTCAACAAGAAAAATTACAGCGACTGGGTTCAGTATGCAGAGGCAATTCTGCGGAAAGAGGGTTTGTTTGAGGTGATTACAGGAACCCCCAGTTCCAGTTACAGATGCATGGGAAGCTAAGGATTCCAAAGCAAGGGGAACTCTTACATTGATAGTATCCCCAGAAGAGCTCTGTCTATTGCGTGATAAGACCTCAGCCAGAGAAATTTGGGACGCTCTGAGAGAGGCTCATTTAAGGACAGAAGCTGGATCCACTATGTATTACTTTAACAAGCTGCATAATATGGCTCTTGCTGAAGGTGGAGATGTGCGTTTACATCTAATGGAGATGCAAAATCTGAGACATGAGCTGCAACAGAGAGGACTCAACTT